GATACACTCTGGTCTTGGTCTTGTCTTGGTCTCGGGTTAGGTGGTCTTGAACACAACACTGGTGTTACATAAAACTTGTTATTTCTCTGTCCTGTCCACTTCGTTCTTCGGTCTTCATTATGCTGTTTGTTCACTAACAAACTTGTGAGGCTTTCACAGCAGAACTTTAAATATAATGAGACTAATTTTAACACGATGACTCTGTTAGCTAGATGTCTTCTGAATAGACACATCTTTCAAATGTACATTTGTAAAAGTTTGAGTTGGTCTGTCTCGTAAAATTTCTCTATTAATGGCTGGTTAAAAAATGTTTAATATTGATATTTATTTGACAAGTTGACAAATAAATATCAACTTGTCTTACTGAGAACAAAATTGTTTTGAAGACAAGTGTTTTTATAAGCCCCCGATATCAAAATGTAAACAGAATCTTTACCAAATATCCCAAAGTTAGCGATTTTCTCCAAGGCGCCCCTCATGTTGCAGCCCGGCTGGAAGCTGCCCCCGTTGGGGTAGATGTCCACATGGCCGATGGGTTGCTGTATCCCGATGCTGAGACCCAGCGAACCCCGAGTGAAGGTGTGGAGGACATCCACGAAATGGGCGTCATCTGGAGAGAGGCGCCGGTGGGCGTGTTCGCCCTCAAAGTCAGGTCCAGCTGGATCCAGGCCTTCAGAAAAAGAAAAAGCAATGCAATGAGTGGGATTAGCGATATTTCACTTTGCTCATCTTTTTTTTTGTAAAATAGTTATTTACCAGTAATCCGTCCAACTTTGTTGCTGGCATGGCTGCCGGCAAATCCAGCCACATGAGCCCCAAGGCTGTAGCCGATCAGGTGGAGCTTGTCAAGAGGCATGTTTGTGGTATCCTTTAAAAATATAAATATTTAATAAAAACCTATGAGTCTGGAATGAATTACAAAAACATTTCAAAGGCTTAGGACTCAAGAAAATCACAATGAGGGCCATTATCTACAAATTTAAGCCACAAACTTGGAACAGTGGTCAATCTTCTCAGAAGTGGACAGCCAACTAAAACTACAAGAGGGAAGAGAGCATCAACAACTCATCTTCACAAAAAAAGAAGGAAAAAAAAACACAGAACAATGTCTAAAGTGTTACAGGCTTCCCTTGACTCAGTTAAGGTCAGTGTTTGTGATTCCACAAAAAGATGGACGAGGCAAATTACATCAAGGAGAGACCAAAAAAGACCTTAAAGATTCCCAAACACTTTGGGAGAATATTTTGTAGACTGAAAAGACACAGAGGAACTTTTTGGTATATGTGCATCCCATTACAATGGGAGCAAAACAAATACAGTTTATTAAATAAACACCATAAACAGCTAAAGGACCATTTATTTATGATAGAGCATGAATTCTGTTCTCCAGCAGCAAAAGGGTTTAATGTCTGGATATCAAACTGATTACTTAAAGCTCAAAATATGCAAGACAATTATCAGAGAAACACCAGCAACTCCACCTCTGAATGGTGCAAAAACAACAAACAAACAAAAAAAAAAAAACAGGGCTTCAGAGTGGCCTACTTCAAGTTCAGACTTAAATCTTAGCATAAACTTGACGAGATTGTTCACACTTAAATCTCTTCGATGTGCCTCAGCAAAAGGAGACTGGCCTAAATTTCCTCAAGCATTAGTTTTTAGGTCACTTCTTTACATGGGACCAGGTCGCCAAAGATAGCTTTTATTTAATGGCTGAATTTTGGTGATTTCCATTTGATAGTAAAAACAATTTAATCACTTGAAACATTCCAGTCTAAAAAAAATTGCAAAAAGAGAAGAAAACGGGAAAATACATTTTCCAAACATTTTTAAGCTGGTGAGGCATAACATCAAGATTACTGGACTACTTATTCAACATCTTTCTACTGACATGATATTTTCAAATGAATTACTCACAAAGCAAAACCATAAAAAAGGTGTAAAAGCGTAAAGAGAGGACCACTCGCCTCGATCCAGTCAATGAAGCGTGCGATTTCTCTTCCCACTGCTTTGGTTTTCTGAACCGCGACCACATAGTGGTTCTGAGCCAAGCTCAGCCAGTCCACCACAACAACGTTGGCCGTCCGCTCCCTCTCGTACAGCGCAGACACCAACTTCGGCATCCAGCTTTCAAACATACCGCTCAGCTGGTGGCAGGACAGTTGAAATGTGTTGAAAAAAAAAAATGTAAAAACAAGTCTAAGTTTACTTAAAGCAGTAATTTCTAGCGTGCGTTTTAAAAGTTGCTGTACTCACCGTCCATCCGTGGATCACCAGGAAGGTTTTGGATGTGCTGTTGAAGCCGCAGGCTGCCAGGGTCTCTGGTTTTCCGGGAACAATGTAGCAGAGGTCGTCGTCAGGATGGGATGGGTTACGCAGGGAGAATTTTGCGACAGCCGAGTGATGTTCATCCTCGTCAAACAAATCCTTCACAGGGTCAAGGAAGTTGCCTGAATAAAAAGGTTAATAGGATGTACTTTCAACAAATCATAAGGGCAGAAAGCCTAACTAAATAACTAACTACAAAAAATATCCCAGAGTAAAGAGCTGCTAGATTAGATAAGATCAGAGCTGCAGGGTTACAGTGGTTCACCGGGCTTGGACAGACTTCCACATTCTCTCTGGGGTTTTTTTTTTTCCCACCTTTGTTCCTGCCGTCTCAGACTACAATTACTTTTTGGGTCCCAGAGATAACTGCATGCTCATCTTACCCAACTGAGCTGATTTTCAGAGCAGCAACCTCAGACACTTATTAACCTACTTTAAGCTTTTTCCAGCTTACATCCTCAGAGATCTCTGCATTTTATTAGAATTTATGTAAAGGACTAACAAAATGGATCACATAATTGTGAAGCGAAATCAAACTACGGTTTCCCTTTTTGTTTATCAGTAGAAATCTGACTGTGTCGTGCATTTGTCTTGCCGCGACAGCAGATGCATGTCTTCTGGTCTGTTTCATCCAACTGTGAACATCTAGAGATTCAAACTGTTGCCTCTTCTTTGGGGGGCAAAATAGTTCATGGTCAAATGAACTATGCATACTAACAGATTAGTATGCATTAATCTAAATTAATCTAATTAATGAATCTGATTCCGTTGCTGCTCCTGGTGGGTATTTGGTGTCGTTGTCCTACAGGAAGGTAAACCTCAGACCCAGACTCAAGTCTTTTGCAGTTTTATTTTATTTTTTTTTCCCTTGGACTTTCCTGTATTTATCCTAATCCATAATCAGCTCTGACCAGAGGTTGATCCTTCTTAAAAATTCCACAGCATTATGCTGCCACCACCATGTTTCACAGTGGGGATGGTGTCCATAGAGCGACTTGGACCAGCACAGCTTCTTGGATGTCAGCAAAACAAGTTTTTTAGTTTTTTTGTTGTTGTTTTTTTATCTAACCTCTTGGAGCAAAATTACAAAGTTAATCAATTAGGTTATTTTAGCTAATTTACCTTTATTGGATGTTATTTTTCAGGATTAATGGAGCAAAGTGACCTGATCATAAGCACATCACACATTTCAGATTACTTGGAAGTATTCAGAATGATTTGCTTTGTTGCATCCTGCTACAAAGTACGCTTTGCAAGGCCCTCTGCACTGAAGTTATTAGGATGAAGATAATGATTTGCTTAGGCATGAAAAGCTAATTTAGATGCGGTTAAACTTTTCTGCACAATAAAGTAACACACAATCCTGCAGACATTTCATCATTACTTAATGAGTGAATGATTGTTGGGCTTTATTGCTCTGCAGACTTGTTAATATGCACCAGAGCAAAAGGAAAACTCACCAAATGCAGAATCAGTGAGCTCTTCTTCCAGGGAAGTCACTTTTTGCGCATCCGCATTCAACACCACGAAGCACAGAAACCAAAGTTGCCAGGCTCTCATCTCTTACAGCCACAGATCCTTTGAGAGAAAACCTCTAATTAACGTGAGTCCCACGCCGCGGCTGGTTGTACAGACTACAGTTTCCGCCTTGGTGGGCGTACAGCGCTGTTATCTGAGCCACATTGGACTGAATGCGTCTTAAATAGCGCCTGTGAACTTCTGCCTCGTCATTGGCTGCCGACCTCCGGGCGGAAGGTAAATGATTGGGCTGCGTCATGGGAAGAGTTAGCAAGCGTGGAAGAACCGTCGCTTCATGAAAAACAGCTGAGCACCGCTGCTAGTCAAGGTTTTAAGTTACATTCAGCGACAGAACAGGCCAGGCGTGAGGAATTCATTTCATTTCGGGATTGTTTACTAACTATGCTGATTTGCAGTTTCACGTGTAAATTAGATAAACACTGAGCCGTACCATTATACGGAAACTGCACAATTTATTTACATAAACAACCTTACTTTTGTAGGATTAACTTAAAGAAAAGTTTGCTCTCCTTTATCAAAATAAAAAAAAGAAGCTTATAATATATCATATTGGGTCATGTCTCAGGAATACAATGGAGTTATATCAAAACATTGGTTCAGTTTTAAAATCTTTCAGACTGTGTTCACTTCTGTAAACTGCTTGTATATTTAGAAGATTGAAATGTCAAATATTTAATAAAGTGTCAACTAAAAATGATGGCAACCGTCACAAACGCACATTTTCTAGAGACAAACAGGCAATGCAACACTGCCTGCCTGTTGGGGACAACATAGTTAGTATCCCTCTTCCAGACTGAATGTCTTCATCCGTTTGGACAAGCAAAGCTCTCTGAAGCATCTGTCCTAGGGACTCAGTGTTACATAATCCAGATGACTCAATACAAATGGCAAATGCATGTCATCAATCTGATTTCTCAATGTAAATCACTGGCTCTGTACAGTTTGTTGCTGGTGAGTCTGGAGAACAGAAAAAATCCTGGCATCAAGTCAGATCCTCCTTATTTGCTTTTATCTGTCACTTCCTGACAGTGACAGTTTCTGATATGGGCAAAATGGGCAACCACCCAGGCCGGGATCTGGCAGGGGACAACATGCGATAAGAGAGGTCATCCACACTCCCCACTTGTCTCACTGGATCCTCAAATCATCCTCACACGCCCCCCGAATATTAGCTATGATAAATCAAACACAGTCTCCCATTTCCTAGCTGTTATTTGCCGATAATCACAAGATATAGAGATTAAACTTTTTCATATTTTCCAGTTTAATGCTCAATTTGTTTGCATGATAGAGAGTTTGCAGGTTTTCGCTCAGCTTGTCCTCCACACACATTCTTTGAGAGAAAATGAGGGCAAAATCACAACAGCAACAAACTTCCAGTGTAAAAGTTGTTTTGATGAAGCATTTTAAACCAAACTAGCAAGCTGATTATTGTTTCTACTCTCTGAATGTTTTGTTCTGAAATAATTCACCTGATTGTGTGAATTGCTTTGAGCAGCATTAGATAAAGGTCCCACCTCATCCACATTTCAGACACAGATTTTTATTTCATTTAAAGTCCAGGCTGATTGACGTGAATAAGATTCAAAAACAGCTGTAGTTCCTAGTTTGCATCAGCTTACAACCCATTGATCTACTGCAGAAAGCATTTTACTCAAGGCTAAATGCAGTTGCATGGTGTTGAAAGACAACATGCTCACAGATGAGTGGATGCACTTTAATTCACTGCTGCTAATTTCGTTTCCCAGAGTTCTGGCACCGGATGCAAGAGAAGCTGGGCAGGAGGCCAATGAGGTGATGGTTGAGGTCCCACAATTATTGCTACGAAGGTCAGCTGAACATAAAAGTTCTCATGATTACGTCTTTATGCTGGAAACAGCCTTCATGTGACTGGCTGTTTATAATCCTGCAGCAGGATTATACTTAAACAGCATAAACAAGTTAAAATTACAACAATATAATTGTTGTAATCAAACAAAACCTACATATCAATGTGTAGTTTAAGAATCAAAGTAGTTTTAGTTAATATCAAGGTTTTAAGCAACATGTTTAAAGGATCTCACATTACTCAAAACTTTACACTGAATAGTAGTTTTGATGAATATATATTGTTTTAACCACAGCATTTTGATTTTATATACACATTGCTATGTTTTATTTAAGAACACTATAGTAATATTCTGTGATGGACTTGCAGCCTGACCAGGGTGAACTCCTCATCTCCAATGGCCGCTGGAAATGGACACCAGGCTCACCGCACTAATGCGAGGATGAACAGGTTTAGACAAAGAATGAATGAGTAGAAAGTAATATTCTGCCAGTAAGTGTCCTTGATAAGACACATCAGTCTTTATGTGTTGGGTTTTCACACCAACAAAGTGAAGAGATTTTTAGTGAGCTCAAAAAAAATTATTAAATGGTACAAACTGAATGAACCACAGAGGAAAAGTAGGAGAGGAACCAACAAGACCGCTGGGAGAGTTACAGGAAGATCTGAGTAAAACGGGGAAAATTAAATATAAATATATAAATGTTGTGATGGAATGATGCAGAAAAGCTGTGAAGGAAGAAAAGAGTTGAGACACTGAGACAAACCGATGAAAGATGACTAATAATCTAAACATAAGAAATGTAGGAGCAGAAAAAGACTTAAGAGTTATATAAATAAATCGAAAATACATATACACAAGAAAAACGGCAAAATACCAAACACCAAATGTCCACTAAGGACATTCGTCTTGAACTTATTCTGGAGAATCCTAAGGCGTTCCCAGTCTAGAGGAGATTAATATTCTCTTCAGAAAGTTCTGGTTCCGGTGCAGAACCGAGGGGTTCCCTGAAAGGCTCCAGAGACGTGTGTCTTCATGCGATGCAGACTCCCAGTGGATTACCCCATCTCCACTGATAAGGCCAGTCAACCTACGAAGGAAGTTCATGTCAGTGGTTTATATCCAGGATCCATTTCATTCAGGCGTCAACCGAATGTGAGCTGGACTCTGTCATGGCTGACAGAGGAGTTCATGGACCGGATATGAAGACAAAGTCCAGTTTGGGAACCTACAGCATGACTACATGAAGCATTTTGCTCTAGATATAAAAAATATGCGTGAGAGTTTGTTGAGATGTTAATCTTAGAAGTAAACTTTGTAACTTTGGCTGTTAGAGTCAGAAATAATTAAATGTGTGCTTGGTTTAGTTAATGAAAAGAAAGTTTTCTTTAAACCGAGAGCTCTATTTACATCTGAAGAAGTACAGCTCACAAATGAAAGTCAGTCTTCTGTCATCAATGTAAGTAAGGATACATTTGAGATGTTGCTCCCGGTGAGTGCCAGCTGGCTGAAGAGCTGCTATCCTTCTTCGAACATGTCAACGCTTTCTTCGAAAAGCAGTGACAGCATTTGTTTTTCCACCCCTGGTGCTGCAGTTCAGATCCGATTGGTCTGGGCTTTGCCGGGGAGAGAGTCTGACTCGAGGGGGAGAGGGAGTCGAGGAGGAGTGCGAATCCGACGCCAGCGCTCCACGGCGGAGATTTACAGGCTCCTGGAGAGACTCTCACAAGTTTGCAGAAAATGTCTCTTGATTTTTTATGATCTTCCAGGATTTATTTCCAAATCTTATTTCTAGGAATGGCTTATGGTGTTGTTTTGCGCAAGTCAGATGCAGTGAGTGCAGGGAGAAGTACACAGTATTTATGGGTTTCATCCTGCTATTTCACACAAACTCTTTACAGAAAGAAACAAGTTTAAACATTTTTCACATGTTACCACTGCTGTAAGTTTAGTTCATGTGGTTTTCTTAATCAAATGCAGTTGAGCCCAGAATTATTAATACCCCTCTACACTGTTTACGTACAGTAGAGGTACCTTTACTTGTCTGTTTTACTCCTTACTCATTGACATTTTGGCTCAGAAGACTTGTTGTTCTTATTTGTATGACATATTTCAGTTACAATTCAAAGTGCTTTATATGATAAAAATATAAATATTACATTAAGATGAACTTTATATCTGAAGATGCAAACAGGTCACCAGTCTTTGGGGGTTGATGTGGTCAGACCAGACAGCTCTAACTTTTCCGTACTCGTGCTTATTTGTTCAGTCCGGTCTTGTTGTGGTAGTTTAGTAGAGAACATGAGGATGTGTGAATGTTTGTCTGTGATCAGCTTCTGTAATAGACTGGTGACCAGTTCAGGTTTTGCACCACCTCTGACTCCGGAGTAAAGAAAGAGGAAAAGGAAAAATCCTCCATTGTTGAATCCCACTGTGGTGGTTTAAAGTAATGACACTTTGTTGTCTGACTCTTTGTTATGCAGGATTAACAACTGATGGGCTTTTATGACATCCACAAATGGACTACATGCAACTTGAGGTCAATTTATAAAGCTTTGGTGTTGCTCACTAAATTGGGACAATAACTGAATCTCCAGGAGTTTTTTTTTTCTTTTTGATAGTTGTTGTTTGCGGTCGGTCTACACAAACCTTTTGGAACAAGGAGTTGAAACCATTTGGCCGAGTAAGCCTTTAGTCCCACTGCTTTGTAGAAGCACACGGCCGTAGAGACAGATGGGAATCCCTGTTGCTGGAGGAGACGCATGTGAGTCAACTAGAGTGCAAAGGAAGAGAAACTCAAGCAACTTTATGAGAATAATCAGCCTGAAAATATGTTTGGCTTACATCTTCTGACCAGCTTTCTCTTAGACCGACTTCAGCTTCCTTGCTCTGAAACTGTGGATGTTTACTTCTGAGCAGCGAGTTTGTGAATTTAAGCACTTTCTTTTCACTTGTAGGGAATTTGATGAACAGATAAGGCTCTTATGTGGTGTTTATTGTCTGGCAATGTTTTGTGAAATGCTATAAATTGATAAAATCCTGATTTATAAAGCGTGAAAGAAGCAGATAACTCAATGGTAAACCTCTCAGTGCTGATAATACGACATGGCCAGATGTCTTTTATCTTTTTGGATTTATTTTTCTAAGTACTCAGGGTTGGAAAACATGTCAAGCCAAGTGAATGTTTTTGTCTGGATAATATAATCACTTGAGGATCTGATCAGCTCCAAAGCGTCTGTCAGCTGAAGGTTGGATCTGAGTTGGAGGTTCCTGACCACCACATTTTGCCAATGTAAATGAGTTTTTAAAGACTCTTTCATCTGATTTCAGTTCATTAGCTTCATCCAGTTCCCAAGTATTGCTTGGACTATTAGAGGTATATATATTACCTCTGTCATCTGCATGGCTCCATGAACCTCCGTCCAGTAGTTGCCAACCTTCTCCAGCTCCTGCTGGGTCTCAGGTTTGGGCGTGTCCAGGGTCTTCTCCCATTGGGACCAGCCAGGGAAACCTCCAAAGGGAGTCAACCAGGACACTTCCTGATGCGACGCCTCAACCCCCTCAGCTATTTGCGAGATGGACCAGATTACTGTGACTGAGCCCCTCAAAGGCAGAGCCAGGCAGCCAATACAAAGGAAACTAATTTCAGCCGCTGGCATCTGAGATCGGCTGTATCTGAATCAACCAGGGCGGAAGAAATGTTGTTCTTTTTAAAACATGTGTTCAGTCAGACTCACAATCTTTTAAAATCTTTTAAAATCTTTCCCTCATATCTCACTTCATATGGAGATGAACTGGTTTGTCCTCATCATAACATTAACATAATTATTTTCCTTCTACCTAAACTCTGAGTAGAAGTAAAGTAAAAGGAGGAAAAAACAATTGGATGGATTAATCACAAAACATAGCAAAAAACATATCTAGTTTAAAAGCCTTTGTCTATTGTGAGTATCTATAAAGGAGCATTAATCAGTGCTAAAAACCTGTCTTAAAGCCCATTTATTTTCAAAGCTGTGGTGAGATTTCAGAAAAAATATATAAAAAAATAAGTTGGTGTTGAAGTCATTGACAAAACAGGAGAAAATCAAGTTACTTCTCAAAATACATGAAAAATCGGCCATAATTGAACATTTGGATGAGATTTAATTTGGAGTTAAAGTAGAGAAGAGGATCACATTTATTAGACATTAAGTGATTAAAGTTTCTGTGATAAGAGCAGCAGCCTTTGACAGACAAAAATGCATTTTTTTTAATACAATTTTTCTATATCTCACAAATTGTTGGAAATAATTGTTGGACCAAATTTCTTGTTTATTTCACATTCATTAAAAACTCTCTGGTGCAAATATTTTTTTAATATAAAATCGTTTAAAACCAACCCAGACTAATTTGCTGAAACAAATTCAACCACTCATGGGCCGGGATGGATCCCAGATGTTTCAGCATCATGACAACACCTCTGGGAATCACTATTATCTCCTGGTGTGACTAAGAGTCGTTAAACAACTCGGCACTTAACACCACTTATTTTGTAAACGTTTTCCAATCAAAAATTTGTTCAGGGAAAAATAAAAAACGTAAACTTTCCCAGCCCACAGCTGGAAAAACACAAAACTTGAAATCACAACTTTAAGTGAGAAATGAAAGACCTCATTTGGACACCTATTAACAGTGTTTCCCCCATTCATTTGCCTGAGTTGTGATGTTCATAGATTGCTTTTAATTAGTTTATTATTGTCCCTGCAGTGCCTCAACTCCTGTTTTCTGCTTGGTTGAAGTTTGCAGAATTTTTCTTTAAGATATTAACTCTTCGTTTTCCTTTTTCTGTTCTATTATTATGTTGTCTATCAGTTACCTAACATGTTTTTAAATACTTTTCATGGTTAGTTTTGTTGATACACCGGATTCTGGACCATGCACTTCTGCTCTGTCTATTCTGGTCTCCTGTTTGTATTATTTTCAGGGAACATGATGAACATGTCAGCTGCTACTCTGATGACACCCACATTTATTAATTAATCAATCCTTACTGACCAAATGAGTTAGAATATCTTCCATCTTGTTTTATAGGTTCCAATTATGTTTTAGGATTATTCTTTCCCTACTCATATTTGTCACGGTACAGTTTCATTACTTTTAGATAGAATTGGTTTTCTGGACCACAGCGATGAAACGTTGGATATCGGATTGTCTTTCCGTTAACAGGCCTTCGGAAAAGCAGCCTTTTATCAGCATCTCAAGTTTCCTGCACCAAACAAAAGCTAAAAACATAAGCTTTCATTTTTTTATGCTGCTTTAGGTGCACGAAAAAACATCTTTTAATAAACAGTGTTGCAATGGATCTGTCAGCTTTCAGATTTTCTCTGTTTTTTCGTCACATTGTCGCTTTTGTCACATTTAAATGATCATCAAAAAATCCCATCCATCCATCCATCCATCCATCCATCCATCCATCCATCCATCCATCCATCCATCCATCCATCCATCCATCCATCCATCCATCCATCCATCCATCCATTTTCTTTACACCTTTACCCCAAGAAAATACTAAAGGTTTTCAAATCGTCATTTAATTTCAGAAAGGAATGAAGTTATTTAAGCTTTAAATTGGCCCCATGTGAAAATGCAGTCACCACTCTTGGTAAATCATAAATAAGTTGTTATTAACCAAATTAATTGAGTTCAGTGACACCAGCCACACACAGGTTTGGTTTATTGAAACTGTTTTGGTCTTAATGGGGTTTTTTATGGTTGCTGTGGTTTTGTTCCGTTTTTCATGATTTTGCATATTTGGGCCCGTTTCTGATTTTTTGTGCAGCTCATCATAATTTCTGCTTAGTGCTTTCGTTTCATGTTCTTGTTTTCTTTCATTTTCCAGCTTTCCTTTTTTTCCTGGTTTGTTTGGGAGCTGCATGGTAGACCTGGAGTCTTCTCTGTGGGTATGACGTCTTTAATTTGTTTTGTATCATTCACATTTTGTATTATTTGCAAGTAATTTTGTCTATTAATAGCCCTTTTTTATTCACATTGTATGTTATATAGTTTTGTATGTTATACAGATATGTAAATCTATTTAGCAATGGTTGTAATTAATGTCACAATGTTTGAAATTAATCTTGAATGGTGGTGCACTTCTTAAAACAGCTGCTTGGCATGAAGAAGGCCTCGGGTTCGAACCCTATGCTGGGTTTGTAGGTTCTTTCTGGATACTCAGACTTTCTCTCACAGTCCAATTGTTTGCATCTTAAGTTTCCTTGTCTCTTTCCGTTGTTTTCTTGTGAGTGTGTTTATGTTTCTTTGTGTTATCTTGTGATTGGTGACAGGCACCAGGAGACGGGCACTGGGCCCACTGTGACCTTACATGGAGAAGTGGGTACAGGCAGTGGATTGATGGTTTGCATATATGAAGTACAAACCCTTGTCAAGAGGAAGCTGAGCCCTGACTAAACCATAAAATAACCTCACATAACCCATGCATCACGTAACTGAGGAGGGAGATTTTTTTTTTATTTTAAATTCAGACTATCTTCTGACTAGAAAGCTGGAATGGAATAACCCCAGATTTTACTTCTTATGAAACGATGATTGCTTAACAATGATGTTTTCATATTCTTAACATAACTGTGAACCAGTCAAACTTTAACCCCTCATTTACTGAATGGCACCAACTACAGACATCGACACATGGCACTGACTGTCCAAATGCTGAAATTAATAATCCAGAACCTCTACACCAACAAACATAGAAATTAATATCTGGTTCTGATTGGAACCAGGCTCTCAGAAACAGGCACCCATATTGCACATAGCGATCTTTAGTACTTCCTGTAGTAAATTTGATCTGTTTTGAGCTGCGATTTTTAGCCAGACATCCGTTTTGGGTTTGTTTCAGAATCCTGGCCTGCTGGAAATGGAGAAAAATAAAAGCATAAAGTTCTGGGATAGTTTTGACTTTGTGTGCATATTACAAACACCAGTATCTTCAAGGAGTCCTTCATGAACCAAGCCTTGGTGAATTTTATCATCGGTTATTATCGGTGTTTGAAGGTCAAAAGGCACACAGCCTCAACTATTTTACAGTCCTCAAGAATTTCCTGATACTGGATAAGAGCTCTTACCCTCATTATCTTGCTCAGACTTGCAGAAGCTGTCAAGTTGTCGAGAGGTGAGATGAAAAGGCATGTATAATAACATTTTGTTCCAACTTAGAGCCTGTTTTTTTCATATATGGAGGAAAATCAGGGTCCACCTGATGAAAACACCACTTACACAGGCCCCTGGTAAACGTCTGTGTCCAGCGTATTTATAAATTCAATCATTTTTCAAAAGCAACTTGAGCAGGAGAAAATATCTTGATCTGGGGTGTAGCTCTTTATTATTCCATTCCTGGGCTCTTTCTATGAAACAGTGCACCAGATTCCGGTTCATTAAAAAAGTCAATGCTCTCAATAACTGGCTCAGTCTAACCAACGCTCCCAAAGCTGTTTCCACGAAAAACATTTAAAAATGCTTCAGTTATAGAAATACAAGCAGCATTGCAAGCCTGCCAACATATATTACAGCTTCATATACAAATATATAAATGTACAATCAATAAATACAGTGTGAAGTCTTCGTCTTGAGATGTATGGAGAACATTAAGGCTTGCTTAATGTTTGGTGATTTTTTTTCTTTCTTTCTTTTAGGCTCAATTTGTGGTTCTGCGTAAAACTATGAGTTGGAACTCTGATTCTGGATAATTAAACGAATGGCTGTGATTCACTGTACTTAAAAATACTGAAATGAAAGAATGCAAATCACTAATATGGTGCAGTTTGACCATTCTTCACATCTTAAATGCTGACCAATGACACAAAACGCAGCAAAATCAAAGAACAAACAACACTTCAAGAGATTAGGTGTTAGCATGTGGCTCATGTTCAAAAGGAAAAGATCGCTGATTCTGATTACAGTATTTACAAGGAACACTACGATCGACTTCAGTAAATAGCGAAAGTTTCTTTGGTCCCTGTCGATTGTCGGTAATTAGTGGTTTAAAAAATGTAACTGTCGGCACAAAATGGTTGATTAGAAAACAAAAGCAAACACAGAAATGTGCCATGATTATGCCTATCACTAAGAATCATTTACAGGTCATCAATAATCCCAGTTCACATAGGCAAAGGAAACACAACATTTCAGGGTTCTGAAATTACATCAAAGTCAGTAAAAGCAGTTCATACATGATACACAAGCATAAACAATGATTACAAAGCAGCAATAGCTACTTAAAATGGACAGTTGTTTAAAAAAACAAAAAAGCAAAAAAAAAACAAGCACATCCTCAAAAACAAAACCAGTAACTTTTTTGCAGCAGCAGCAGAATTTGAAGAGAGACACATGAAGTCAGAAGAAGACTGATTTCATAAACTGTGGATGAGGTTGGGCTGGTTTCAGGGCAGAAGTAGGAAGACGGGAGCTTTCACTAAGTGTCTAGGTGTCTGCAAATGGTTCCCCAGTGTTTCTGTGTGCTGTCCATCTTTGGCTGCGCTGCTAGAGATGGATGATGATTCCGGTGAGTAATTTCAAGTTTTCTTCAAGCCTCGTTCTGACCAAAGAGACTACCCTGCGTCTTGAGTCTGTGCATCCTGGCGGGAAGAAAAGATTAAAACATCAGATTCGATGCTGATCGGGTTTAGGTTCATCAGGATTTGAGTCTGTTGGGAGATGAGTGACTTACTGTCTTTCTTTACGGCTCAGTGTGTCTTCTTTTGACTTGACAAAGACTGCATTTTCCCCTCCCCTAACAAGGTAAGCAAACTCTCCTTCCTTTGCGTTAAAGATCACCCTGCAGTCACACAGATAATATATGTTCAGTCAACAATAAATATTTAATTCTTGAGTAAGTAAATGTTAGAGACCAGGAACTCACTTGGACTGAGTCTCGCCACATTTGATGCGGAGCTTTCGGAGGTGAAACTTGCTGCTGCCCCAAAGGTCGGACCAGCTGAAAAGTGTGTCCTTCTCCCAGCGAATCTTGACGATCATCAGGTCACCGATGTCCACGTCGGTGGTGATCAGGAAGGACGAGGTGCTGTTGCTATCAAGGGAGGGCCTGATGGGTTGAAGTGGGAAATATGGTCAGATATTGGCATATTTGATTAGTTTTATTATATGTAAAGATTCACTGAGAAACTGGCTGCTGACCAGAATTCATACATTTTAAACTTAGCCTAAAAAGTGAAATAATTTTTCTTATTATTGAATCCATTTTATCTATCGGATTAAGCTGATCACATTTCTCTTCACGGTAGAAGTAATGACTAGAGGAAGGAGATTGAAAGTTAGCTGTTTTTAGTCCCACTGACTTGTTGGAGTAATAAAACGCCTAAAAGCTGCAGGAGGCTTAGGTAAAGTAACGGTCTACCTTTGCTAAAGGGAAAACAAATGGACAACTGGTTGCATTGTGTTATGCTAACCAAGATAACTCTGATAGTCGCTCTAACAGAAGATGCTATAAACCATTTAGATCATCCATTCTGCAGTCTTTTTGACTTTGGTAATATTAGTGAACTCCTGTTTAACTGTGAAACATCATCCATTCTCTAACACACACAGTGTGACGTCCCCTTCGGGTCCTGCTGTGCATTATTAATAATCGACCATAGAAACACTGATAAAGGAATGAGTGATTTTACTAACATAACTCTAAAATCACATCCTCTTAAATATTAAGTTGTTTTTATTGTTAAGACAGAAATTATTTGTATTAAATTAATATATAGAGAAGAAAGGAATATATTTTGTTACAGTCCACTTCTGTATTTTGAGGTATACAAAATTATTAGCAACCTATAATCTGTATGTAAAAGAGTAAATTAAATACACTAATTTTGTATTATTTTTGCTCTGATTTTACTTATAGATACCCTTATCCACAAACATATACCCACAATATGTTTGTGGATTTTCAATGATGCAATTGAGAATTTTGCTCTTTTTTAGTTTATTATGAACATTTTATTATTAGGATATTTGCGCTTTAAGTTTAGTTTTCTTGGTAAAAAAAAAAAAAAAAAAAAAAAAAAAAAAAATTTTTTCATTTTTTAGATAGAAAAAATTAAAATTAAAGGAAAAATTTTTTTGGGGGCTAAAAAGGGGG